GCAACCAGACTGTCAACTCTTAATATTTCACACGTGAAAAGAGCACCAAATAAAACTTTGTAGACATGAAGCTGGTGCTAGTTTGGTGCGAGCCAAAGGGTGAAAAGAAGCCATTCCCATTTTGAGAATAATCAGGTGAATAGTGCAAATTGGTATGGGTTGAAATTCGCCATGGGGACCATATAAAACGTGTGTCGAGAAAACCTGTGACTAAAATATTGAACCGATAGCTAGCTGTGCACACGTGTTGTCTTTGCAGAATTGCGAAAATCCCAAATTTTTGCTAGTATTTCAGATTTGATCGGCGGTGCGACAGAAGAAAAACAAAAATTGTTATTTTAAGGCGATAAGACGAGATATGGCCTGCCTCGAGGCAGGACATCGGCCTTTTTGATCTTTAGGTCCTTCGGACTTATGTTTGGTTGCTACTAATTGATCGTTCAAAAGCCTTTTTCTTGGATTTTGTCGGCCCTTTAGGTGTGGATTGGACTCAGAGGCCCTACCATGGGATATTATTACGATTAGTATCACTTAAGGGCCCCTCCAGGGATTTTGTCGCTAATTTGCCCTTTCGGGCTCCAAAGGCCCTGTTTTGGGATTCTGTTACGGTTTACAGTTGTAGTTAAAAGTAGGCCTTCCCCTTTTTAATGCTTGCCGCATTGCCTCTTTGCAATTGGTTATCTTTTTATTGGCACCAGTTCATTAGTCGTTCTCTGTAATTACGTAATCATTAGCACTTCGATCCTATTTAATGCTCTTTTTTTATTTCAAAAGTTGTAAATAACTGAGGAAGGTCTCTGACCGAAACGTTTTTTATTAAAAGTTTTTATATTTTTTACGTCAGAAGTTGTCCATCCTCGCAATTTTTAATCTTCAATCGCCACACACTAAGGATAAGCTACTCCTGCATGCCTAACGTCAAAACAATAATCGCGTCACACAACAAACACTAGACAAAGAATGTAACTTGGTGGGTTCGTTGATGACTGAGGAGTCCAAGGCGGGAACGGCATGTAATAAGTCTGAGCGGGTTACCCGTTTTGTGTGCTTTGACGTTTCCAAAAGCAACTCCTGGTCTCGCTTCTTTATTTAAAACCCATTTGGCTACTTCCGGAGAAATCTCACCTATTCCTAGCCATTTGGAGCACCAACTCTCTACTCATGCCAAATGTTTAGAGGTTGGGTCTGATTGCAATGCTTCATAATGCAACTGATTGTTAAGCTGACCAAACATCAATTCATTTTCCATCTTATAGTAATTAATTTTCCGTCTTATATTAGGCGCTACTAATTGATCGTTTAAAGGCCCTTTTCTTGGATTTTGTCGGCCCTTTAAGGGCCACTCCAGGGATTTTGTTGCTAATTTGCCCTTTCGCAATTTTTAAACTTTCTACGTTCGTGTTTGCTGTGAGGTTTGGACTGCGAATCTTTATTGATTCTTCTGGCGTGGTGTACCTTTGTTTGCCTGAGAGTTCCACTAACGACTTGCGATATATCTAATTTTGCATGTTGCATGTTTCGGCGAGGCAGTTGTTCTCGCTTCCTCTTTAATTTACAAGGCTAAAGTCACCACAAACAAAGACCAAACGGGCAAAAACTACATCGGCCTAACAGAAAATTCTTTTAAACAAAGATACACGCAGCATTCCCTCTCATTCCGAAAGAAATGCTAACAGCAAAGAGCTATCCAAATACATTTGAGAACTTAGGAGCACCAACACTCCCTACTCCATTCATTGGTCGACATATCCACAAAGCCGCATCTTACAAAGGAAATTCAAGAACATACAACCGCTGCCTTGCCGAAAAATTCCTCATTATCACCGCGGACAAATCCACTTCATTAAAAAAACGATCAGAACTAATTTCCAAGTGCCGCCATGAAAACAAGTTCTACTTGCGAAACCACTAGAAACAGTCCTTTTGTCTTCTTAATTAGTTCCTATTATTTTAACTATACTTTCTATTTATAAATTGATTTTATAGCACGGTATGTTTTCCATCGATAATAAACCGTCTGACGATCGCAGCGCAAGCTGCGTGTAACTCAGAGTAATGGTGAAACGATCTTCCTGTCATTAATATATAACCGCTATTGAAACGCTCTGCAACCCGCATCGAGCACTTTTTCACAGCCACGACTTCTCCTAGCCTGTTTAAATATATATATATATATATTTAGCGTTAGCATCCTAGCGTTAGCACTGCACTGATGAGGCNTTTACAAAGCTCCATGATTGTAGAGCACCCTCAGATTCAAGGATAAGGTTTTTTACGTTTATATATATATATAAACAAACTGTAAACTTCTGTGTCGAATAAAGATACTGAAATAAATGAAAAACGAAAGTCCTCTTTTTCTTTTTCTTTCTCTTTGCTTTTGCGCTACGCGTTTCACCGCTGTTGCGGCTCTTCAGGCATAGCAAAGTGCTATATATATATCGATATATATATATATTTTTTTTTCAGTTAAACACAATGCTACTAGGGCGAGTTATCAAGGAAATGGCAACCATGCAGCATGCAAAAGACAAACACAGCGAACAAATAAGGTTAGTATTTCAGTAGCGCCAGTGGAAGATAAATGACGGTAAGCCATTCGCCTTTTTCTTTGCTTCCTTGTACGAGTAATGCCTACTTGCAACAAAAATAAAAGCAACCTATCTTCTTGGTTTTTTTCATGATTTTATAGGCTTGGTGTCAGGGCATGCATGGTGATGATTCCTTTGCTAGGGATCACGTGGCTATTTGGTCTTCTGTTGCCCTTGCACAAAGCGGTGGCCTACATTTTCGCACTTTTCAACTCCACTCAGGTAAACTAAACACAGCTTATTTAAAATGAATACCGTTCAACATGAGGTAGCTAACTGAGTTACTTCTGTTTTAATAGATCTCTACTCATATTAGAGCAGAAGTTCATCGCTGCCTATTATGAATTCTCAGGTCTCTCTGATACTCAACTATCTTTTAAAGCGAACGTTCTGTCCCATTAACAAATGCTCGGAAAATAGACCCTTCACGACTACTAGGCTATTAACAGTTAGAGCGTTCTTAAGTAAAGAACGTTAACGTGAGAGAAAAAAAAAAAGAAACATATCATCAGGATTCTGATTTTGTATATAAAAATACCGATTACTCTTTACAATGAAAGGAAAAAGTGAAATGAATTTTTCCGGAATAATAATAATAAAAAAAGTTCATAAAACCAATTTCACGATTGTGAACCTGCAATGATGACGGTTTTCTTCATCTTATAAAATTGATCTTACAATATTGATCTTATAATATTAGTAGTATCATTGTCAAGCAGATTGTCGTGTTTAGTAGTTTACCAGGTGGTAAACTTAGTGTAAAGCAACCTGACGAAAGAGAGAACTTTTGATTAATACCAGTAATTTGGACATTTTGCTGCCCATGGAATTAGATATTAAGGGAGCTGGGGGTATAGGGCGTGGATGAAATCTCTCTGCGTCTACTCAGGTAATAAAAAAAAGTTATACGACAGGCGTTAACTTGATATCCCACTTAATGGTTTAACAGGGCTTCCTAATATTTCTCCTTCACTGCGTAAGAAACTCAGAGGTATGTTATTCAATGTTGTTCTAAGCTCTCTTTGTACCCTTCATCAGATTTCTTCCGACTAGGATTCCACTTTGAAATAAGAATTTTAATTCGATAGTTGTATCGATCGAATTCAAAGCACGATCAGTTTTAGCTTCCTTGTAATCGTTTTGATTTCAACTTATTCTTGCAGATTAGATCTCGCTTTGAAAGAAGGATCAATAGGGTCACCCCAATCGTTGATGAGGGAACAAGCATTAAGCGAGCCTCCCGAGGGAATGATACTGACGGGAGAATCTTTTTTCCAAGGAATATTCATGTCGAGCCTCGCAATAACAATGAAAGTGGTACTGAAGTCTCTGAGATCTGAGTCGCCATGGTAGTCTTTTCCCACAGTCTTGCTAGATCTGTGTATTATATCTTAAATTAAATTCGTTTAGAAAGTTTGGTACACCCCCCAAGAGCTGAATAACCTTCAGAAGCTGAGGCTCGGATAGCTTTGTATTTGATCCAAAGTATAATAAAACAACAATTCAAGTAATCATAATGAAAAGTATCCTTTTTGTCGAAAATGAGTACCGGATATAACCAAGGACAGATGGTCTAGAAATCCAAAACTGCATCCAAGAAACAAGTCCTGAGAGAAAGGGAACTACCTTGAGTATCTCAGAAGGAAAATATGTTTTCCTTTTTTTTTTTTCACATCCATTAGAACTCGTTAGGATTTAGTCACCGTGATAGAAAATCTTCCTCAGATGTTTCCTCGAACCACGTTCTCGACGAGCTCTTTTTTATTCCTTCAACTCTTATTTCTCACCCCAATCTTGGATTCAAACGTAGCCAACTTTCATTTATCACGGAAGCTCATTGGCAAGCAACTCTATCTTTTTCGCTTTGATTTATTCGTCAGTAAAAGCAACACTTTAACATTACATCTATTAATCATTTTATTAATTTTCCCTTTATTCCTCCATTTATTTATCTACTTATCATCGTTATTCCTTCATAAGAAACCATAAGGCACTTTGATTATATCTCCATTTCTAGAAAAGAAAGTGAACTTTGTACGAACAGGTTAGGCTCCCTCTCATTCATCTCTTTCCAATGAAAAACATCTAATAGTATATGAAAATTAATTTTTTAAGGTGTATGTAATTATATTCAGGCATCAATACATAATTTGTTTCTAATGTCTACTAATTTTGAACTGCGACAAAGTGATTTCAATTCCTGATCCACTACACAAAATTAAGAGCAAATGTGCCCAAAACTCGAACGTTTTCAAAAAATGGCGGCAACAGCCAAAAATCAATTCGGCTCATATTCTCGAGTTAGGTTGGCCTAAGAGTGAAACAAACCACTGCACGCTTCGTTTGGCTGAATATCGATTTATTTTCGAGAAAATCGATAACAACTGAATTCCGCCAAAATGTGACTTTTGAGGCTCAAAATTTCAGACGCATCTCGGAGCGTCGCGTCACAACATGAAAAAACCTGGATTGTTTAAAAGTACCAAATCTTGAAAAAAAACAACAAAACATGTTGATTGCAGTTTAAGCAATTCTTGACCATTCATTTACACAATCTAATTGAATTTATCCGACCTACTTCCAACAAGATTAAAAATAGGTCAAAAGTAGCCCGTGATTTAGCTATGTGCTTTACAAAATAATTAACCGGAAATCTGGGTTTCGGAAGGCAGAAGATAGTTCTTTTGGATCTCCAAAGGATTTTTAGGGTGAATGATTCTTGGTGATTTAATCAATTTTTTGAAGTTGGATAAAATGCGCCGATTCGACGGTGTCATCAATTAGTCGAAAATGTACACATACTTACGGAAACTCAATTTTTTCGCATTTTACGTCTGTTGCATCTCCCTCACAATAGCGATATTACTTGGAAAGATAGTCAAAGTCTCTTTATGATTGTTCACAAGGCGTATCTCGGGGTTTTTGATTGAGGTTTCTATATTACCATTTCGTTGAAAAAGAGGCTGTAAATACTTCGCGTAAGAGATCACGAAATATTTCGTGATTAAATTTATCACAACTAAATGTATCATGGTATTTATAATGGTAATTGAACTGGGTGGAGTGCAATATGGGCTGAAATGATACGCGTGATTTCAAAATCGAACGAGCGTGCAGCGTGAGTTGGATTTGAAATCACAAGTAGGATTTCAGACCAAAATTGCACGACACGAGGTTCAATTACCACTTTATTACATCCATTTTGAACTCGCCCGAATACAGGACTTGGTCAATTCAAATATTTTATTGATGCAGTACTGAGCCGGTTTTTAAATAAAAAGAGGAACCAGAAATGCTTTTACATCTTATTTTGTATGCAAAACAGAAAGACTTTGACGTCATGTGTCAAAAACTCAGTCAAGCGTAAAATGATGCGATTTAGAGCAAAACATGGTGCAATTCATGAATAAATCGCAGCAATTAGAGCCAATCAGATTACAGGGACCACCAGTGATTTCAAAATGGATGTAGTAAATCATGGTATTTTATCATGGTATGACAAATACAACATTTGTGAAATCGCGTGCCAGACCAAGTTGTCAAAGTTTTCCGTTGGGATCCTATGGGAGATCTGCACCGTGCTTAAACTAGACGTTTCTTTAATAACCAGCAAGCGGAAGCAGCCCTATATAGCTATTTTGCAAGAATTGGTTGAAAGTTGTGGTTGTAAAAGTATGGACTAAATATCTAATGCAAACCTTGAACTCCCTGTCTGCGGAAAGACCCGCGCCCTGTCGGCAAATCCAACGGATTACTAACGTACCTTGCTGATCCGCTATAGCTAAACAGGAAAGTGATTTTTTAGGCCGTCTATAAGAAGAAGTCAATTAATTCTTAAATTTAATTAACCTGGAAGGACAGATTAAGCACAACATGGGTTTGTTTACTCTTTTTTTGCCAGCAAAATATAGATATTAGCTTTTACGCAGTGGGTGTGAAAATTGCGTGTTCTGATCAGGCAACAGGCCTATCATATGTCTGTACGCATCATCTCCACTTTATAATATATCGCCATGTAATTCATTGATGGCTTTGAACCCGACCGTATTTGACGGGGATAAATGACTCCTTACTTGGCTAGCTCCTTCGACAAGAGTACCAAATAACTTACTAGTTGAGTTGATTCTTTGAAAGCCACTGTTTCAAATATACAATATCAGTACAGTTAACGCTCGGTGATCATGTATTTTACTTTAAGTCCTAAGGCATACCGACCCGCACCCGAGTCTGCTGTATCAGTTGGTGCAGTGATTACTCTGGGCTTTTCTTGAGTTTCGAGATACGCAGAATGAATGGTTTTAGTGCCAGACGTGAGCTTTGGGACCGCTGCCACTAATATAGGAATGTAAATATGAAAACGCAATAGTTGGGTCGTAGTCTTGCTAGCAACACGAGCCTGAGCTTAACAAGACATGGTAGGCTCTGGGAAAGAGAAAGTGTAAATATAAATGTGTTGAACGTTGGCTAATCCAAAATTTTCAGTAAAGGTCGTGGTTTTCCAGTTTTAACTCTAATACAGCTTCTTTGAAATAAGCAAATATTCCAACACTGCATTTTTTCTCTAACTGCACATCTGAAGTGATGGTGTAGAAATGTGTAGAAATTAATTGTAAGAGAAACTTGATGGAATGATGGGAAGGGGGAGGGCTTAAACTTTTTGTGTTCTTTTACTTTTGCCGCTCGGACCACCTAGCTCAAGTGCACACTGCTTTAACTCAATATCATTTTTTTTTAATCATATGATAACTTTTTTTCCAGTTGAACGCATTGCTACTGGGGTGAGTTATCAACAAAATGACAATCATGAAGCATGCGCAAGACCAACACAGTGAAAAAATAAGTTGGGTGTTTTAGCGGCGCCAGAGGGAGATAAGTGTAAGCCTTTCGCCTCTTGCTTTGCTCCCTTGTACGAATAATGCCGACTTAGAACAAAAGTAAAAGCAAGCTATCTTGATTTTCCATGATTTTATCGCCTCCCTCTTTTACTTTAGTTAGCGTTACAAACGTCACAGAAGGAAAGGAACGATCGAATTTTGTTCACCGTCATATTGCATCCTCACAATCATGCAGTTGAATACGTCACTCTTAAAAGCTTTACTGGTACTCTTTTTGAAACCCCCACTAAATTTATAGTAATGAGGCAAGAAAAATAAAGGCAAATTTTGGTCAGAAGTTTAATACAAATTGACGATTGACCCGGAAATTTCCAATGCGCGCGTGCCCTACGCAAACCATGTCCTTTCATTCATAAAATGGAGAAAATATCGAAACTTAAGCGATCCGTTGAGAATACTGATCATTCCACATGCACCTCTGCCATTGTCATATATTGCATGAATTGTAATCATCGCCAAAGGTTATACACTGGGGAAAAAAAGAAAGACGAACAAGCGACCGATTTTTAAGTAAGTAAGTAAAACCTTTATTTAGACACGATAAGTATTGAAGCTGTGCAGCTTGCGAGGTCGTGCATAAAATAAAAAGATACATAAACAATAGTTGTAATATAGTGTAAAATAAGACATGTATAAACATGAGATAATGTTTATATTAATAATTGATAGTATTAACTGACTAATAAATATATAGACCCAAACATACTTCCTTTAGGGAGGAGCTATCTTTTACAGAATAAACAGAGAAGTCAATAACTCTGACCAAAGGAAGCTTTTTAATTATCTCGGAGAAAATTTTGACACTATGCGCGCTACGGCACTTGATTGGCAGATAATTCCACAAAACTGAACCTCTATAAGATATGGAATACTTTTTGATATTCGATTTGAAAGGTGGGATTTCCAACTTAAGACTGTTCCGTAAATTATATGAGGTTTTGCGATTTCACAGTATGTGCTGTCATACAGGATGGGAAATCATCATCTTATAAGTTAGTTTCAAGACAGATTGCTTATAGAAAGTTCTTAGAGAGTCCCATTTAGCCCTGGTAAGGACTTCCGCTGACTGTATATCCTTAGCGAAATTGTAAATGACTCTTGCAGCCCTGCAGTGTAATCTTTCCGGTGAATCGAGGTCGTCTTGTCGGTTAGTACCTCCCCATATGAATATGCCGTACGTTACTGCAGGAATTATAACTTTAAAATACAGGTTTAAGAGATCCTGTTTAGGTTTATAAGGCTTAGTTTATTGGCAAAACTCTTCTCCAGTTCCTTTATATGAGTGGTCCAGCCATGCTTATGATCGATGGTCACACCTAGAAGTCGACTATGTGTGGCCCATTCTAAGTTGTTACTTCCGAGGTATGAGGGTATTAGAGGGCCAGTGAACGATCCTCTATAAATTAGCCTACATTCTGATTTCTTTGGGTGTGGCGTTAGCCTGTTCTTCACGCACCAGTCATACAAATCTTTTAGGGATTGATTTCACACAGGTCCCACTTCGTCTATAGTCTTCCCAATACAGTATACGGTGGCGTCGTTGGCATACATCTAAACAGATCCTGACTAGATGGACGCTACAAGATCGCTTGTGTACAAAG